AAGACCTTAATATCATCTGAAATTTAAGAAATTTATTGACCATTCCTTCATTTATGTTATTGGTGTAAATCAAAAAGAGAAAAGTCCAAAGATTGAGCCCTGAGGTACCCCACTTGTGACATTAATCCAGTTTGATTGAACTCCATTTGTAACTACCCTCTGCTTTCTTCCATCCAGCCACTCTTCTATCCAGTTTGCTAACTTATCCTCCACACCTATAGAGCTTTTTTTGTTTTTTTACAAGCCTTTTATGTTGCACCTTGTCAAATGTTTTCTGAAAATCCAGATACACCAAATCTACAATCTTACCCTGATCTACTTAAGCAGTAACTAACTAATGGAATGAGTTTCCATTGGCAGAAGTAGAAATCAGCATTTTACAGGAGTTTACAAAGAGAATCTTTGATTTCCTGAAATGTAAATGGTGGGTTTAAATTTTTACTTTTCCAAAAGATGAGTGTGCAAGGAGTCTTTAAAGACCAAGTTGTAACTTGTTGTCCATAAGTTATTTAATAAAAACAATTATTCATTCTGATGGTTTTATTCAAGAATAAAATCTGCTTTATAGCAGAAAAATATGCTTGACCTTTAGCAAACTGATTTATAAATAATTTTAACTTGAGTGACTGTCATATTTAATAGTACCAGAATAACAAGAAAGACATTCCATATACATACCAATACAAAGTACATTGAATGTAAATTTCTGCTGAACTGATTTATTGACCAACTGGTCAGGAAGACTGTCAAATCCTACATGTCCTTGTAGGTTTAAGTTCCTTATTCCAGCCAAATCACCACCCTGCAATATCAGAAGATATTATTAAACAAGCTGGTCTACATATAAGAACTCTCTGGATGTTCAAAGCTTTTAATGGGTTTAACAATACATTTTATTTTATTACCTCAACATGTTTTCTGTGGTTATGAAGAGTTACTCCTTGCCACCAGATCTGAGGGAAGGGTAATCTGCTTGAATTAGGTTTTCTGTGACAACTTTCTAGAATGGGTATTTTGCCAGAACTGTGCAAGCACACAGCTGAGAAAATACAACTGCCAAACATTCAGTGCACGGTTGATGTATAAAGTTCTTTGAATTGATTAATATTGTAGTATGATGTGGAATCTTAAACCAATTTAGAAAAAAGCTTTTTCCCCTTAGGCTTAGATAGAAACTTATTCTTATATTTTATTGAAAAATACATTCATGTTTTCTTTTTCTTGATTGGAAGTTCAGGTCTAAAAAAAGAAAAATCTTGTTCGAAGGACTTTTTGATCAAAACCCATGAGGCAACAAGCAAAATTTGAATTTTTCTCAATCTTTTGGTTGAATGAAAATTTTTTAACTAAGTAAATGTTTTGTATTTTGTACTGAGACAACTACAAACTGTTCCTATTCATACAAGTATATAAACTGGAACATAGTCTACAAACAAATATTTAATCCAGATGTTGAGGCAGCAAATGTTTGGTTATATAGAAAGAAAATGTAACAAATATTTATATTCTATATTTTTGAAGCTGCAATTTTCAACCTTCCCTCCCCCCAATAAAAATCTCTAACTAACAATATATATTTTCATCTGGTTTAATCTTACTTTGCTAATTATCAGTTCAATGCTGAATCTCATGAGAACTGATCATCTGTGTAGATAACCAAAGTGAGCAAAAACATGTCACTCCTTCAGTGATCACTATCAGCACCAACAGCAGTGCTAATAGCCTTGATAATGTTCTGTACATTGTGAGTATAATGTTAAGTCGTTCTCTCTTTATTCATTATTGTGACTCCAAATGTATATGAGTGTTTGAAGATAATGTACAATTAATGTTACTAAGTTATTCTTGTCCAGATTTAGAGGGGGTGTATCCCTAAAATTTGTCAAATTCTGCAACAAGCAACAAATCAAACAAGAGACTATTTCACATATGCCTTGTTGAAACTCGTAAAGAAATAATTACTTTCTTCAACAACATCTAATGAATAATTTTGAAGGATAAGTCACTAGAATTAATGTTACCTACTTTTTAGTGAACCTGTTATGGTTTCACTGTTGTGAGTATTACACACCAATGTCCCGATACACATAAACTGAGATTAACTTCCTGGCTTAAGCTTTGATGTATACAACACTCATAAATGGTTTAAATTAACAGTACACATAAACACCATTCATTCCTGTTTTAACTTTTACAACGACCACAATATTTTCTCAGCCTATCTAATGCACTTAGTTCAGCATAGTGGGATACAAGGAATTTTAATTGGGCATTAAATTATTGGAATAAAAAAATATTTGCAATGTCAGTGGTGCTTAGCCTTAAGTGTTTTCTGTTCAGAAAAAGTATTTTATTATTAATAATAATATAGAGCGTTGTCCCGATATTTACAGGCTGTATATATATATAATATGTCCTGTCTAGCGAGAAGCAAATTTTTCATAGTACCCAGTGCCTCAAAATTCTTTTTAACTCAGCACTGACCCTTAAATTAAGCCTAAGTAATAACGAATGTCACAATAAAATCAACTAGGAATTTAACGTTAAAATTTTACCCCATGTCCATGTTTTTTTTCTACATCTGTTGCTGCCATAGTTTTACTTGTTTCAATACGTACAGCCCAAGCAAATTTGGTTTCTTCCGATTTTTTTCAACGTTCCATTCGTCAAAAAAATATTCAATACTAGTTAATTTATAATTTTGTTTTTTTAAACATTTAGTTTTCAATTGTGCAAGTGGTTTGAGCACAGAAAAATTAACCAGAACATCTTGCAGCTCCCTCTTGTAGTAGTAACTGAAATTAAATATGTTAGAAAAATATTTAAAGCTTTTTTCCCCTTAAGAATGTAACATTATATTTAAGAAAAAATAAAACATAAACGTTTATATCGTAAGAAATCGTATTTTGCTTTCTTTAAAAATAAATAAACAAACTTCTTTGGCTTGTAAGTGTACAAACCCTTGAGCCCAATCCCTCTCACTACAAAACTTGATCGTATCTTTCCCTGACTCTTTATAATCATGAACCAGTGAAGAGAAAAATAAATTATTTTAACTAACTCTTAGCTAACACAATTAGATATATATAAAAGCCTTTCTTATGCACAAAATCTTATAGTCCTAACTATTTTTTTCTGTTTTAGCTATTTCTATAAAATAATGAAAAAACTTATAATCTCACTTAGGAATTACAATCTTAGTGTTGTGAACGAGAATAAATAACCAGGTATTGGTAATCGAATACAATAATAATTATATCGAGAAAGAAATGTGTAAACATTTGTCAGTGTTTGGAGGAGGGTTAATCACTTAATGTTAATATTTTCGTAATAATTGCATGTACTACAGAACTTAATTTTAAAACTATTAGCATGTGATCTCAGTAGTTTTAACATTATTAGTATAAATATTTTTTTCCCATTTCCAAAGAAAGTAACAAGAACAGAGTGATAATACTAACAGTGTATTTTTAAGTTTTGAATGAAAAATTCGTCTGATCGCTCTCAGAAGTCTCAGCAAAATGGACAATACTGATAATATTCCTGTTACTGAGGCGAAACGTCCAGATGATGTGATAAGAATGCCTTTGAATGATAACTTGAAATTTGCCGTATTAATTGGTTTGGTTGAAGTTGGACAAGTTTCTAATAAGGATGTAGTGAATACTGTCTTACATTTGGTAAGTAAATTCATTTTTAATTTTATATGTTTAGCTAGTTTAAAAAACAGTTATATGAAATTTTTCCATGAACGCACATTATTAAGAACTGCTGGTCTATTTGATTAGTGAAGTGAAAAGGTTAGAAATCACAATGTGAATATTAGGTGTAAATTGTAATATATTTAGATCCAGGGCCAGCCTTAGGTTAGTAGGGTGGGGGCCTGAGGCGAGTACTCAGGATTAGGTTCTCAGGTTTGGATACTAGAAGTATACAACTGACTTGGCCAGCCCTGTTTAGACTCTGAAAACTGAGATGCAGATGCTTTTGAAAGTTTTTCCTTTTGATCTAGAGTTATAAACTTGGGGCTCTATGAATATGATGTTCCAGATGAATGTGATGCATGTTTTGCCTGGTGCTTGTGATGTATGTTTGCCAAATGAATGTTTTAAAATTGTATTGAATAGTTAGTAATACATGGATGTGAATTAACACATTTAATTTTGTTATAATGTTTGGATGGATATTTTGATACACAAGAGCCTAAAGAGGTGATATCAATAGTCTAAATGCTCTTTTGTCACTTTGTATTTAGGTTCTTGTGTTTAAAATGTTAAATTTATCTAATGGTTTAATAAGACTGTGTACTAGGAAAAGGCTATGACTGAAGCTAAGGGTTTGCCAAATTGTTTTTATATCCATATTTTCAAAGAGATGTATCTTTTTTTTTGTGCAGTATTAATTCACAACAGTACTTAGAAGTAGGATGTAGTTACTAGGATTCCAATATAAGGCTGTTAGCCACAGTTCCTTGGTTTTAAAATTGAAATTGAGAACTCACAGTTTAACTCGAAACTTTCACTCAGATTCTCTGTCTCTTTGGTATGGTATATTTTGTTTAAGGAGAGAGATGGAGTAATATCACTGACTTAAGAATGGCTGAAGACATCAAATTTACTTTGTAAGACATTGTAGAGATTAGAATAAATGTGAATATGTTACAGTTTAACTTTCAACAGAAATGACGAAACATGATTTGTATTATATGGATACCTAGGAATCAAATTATTCTTATGTAAAACATTTATTTTGTTTCCAATGTTGTTAAGCTGAGGTAGTTTCTGGGTTTTCATTATGATAAAAACAGAGTAAGTACTGTGACTAAACACTATTATATTGGGATAACACCAACATAGTTGGTATGACACATTTCTAAGACTAGTGGTAGAACACAATGGGTATATGAACTTTAACTTCTGACCTTTAGAGAAATGTAGGAAGACATGACTTAGGAAAGATGGTTATGAGAAAGTAAAGGGGTAACTTATAGGGAAATGTTGGAAGACATTACTTAGGAAAGATGGTTATGAGAAAGTAAAGGGGTTGTCTTCCTACATTTCCCTATAAGTGACCCCTTTACTTTCTCATAACCATCTTTCCTAAGTCATGTCTTCCTACATTTCCCTATAAGTGACCCCTTTACTTTCTCATAACCATCTTTCCTAAGTAATGTCTTCCTACATTTCCCTATAAGTGTCTTTCCCAAGTCATGTCTTCCTACATTTCCCTATAAGTGACCCCTTTACTATCTCATAACCATCTTTCCTTAGTAATGGTTATGAGAAAGTAAAGGGGTAGAATGACCTTCTCTCACTTTGATTTTAAGTTTGTGTATTGATTGCTATTGTGGAAAGATGCTTGAACATGGGAGGTTTTCATGTTAACTGTGGTTTTGTAGAAATATGCTTACGTTTGGAAGGTTTCTTAATAATTTAGGTTTCACAGATCTTCAAAATCTAGCTCCAGCAAATGATGAAATTCTTTCACCATTGATTTCTGAGAAGTGCTTTGGCCAAACTCTTTTATAATGTTCTTCAACTAAGTTATAAGCTTACTTGTGAGTTAATTGTGCCAAAATTTGTATATTTTGGTGAAAAACTGGGTATTGAAAGTGTAGTTTTTGTGAAATTATGTGTTAAAGTGTAAATAAAGGAATACGAGCAGTATTAAAACTTTTTTAGCATTACTGTGAACTTCCTAAGCAAAATACCCAGCATTTGTTTCAAAGATAACTGGACGACAAAGCATTTGTCTATTCTTGCTTCTATTCTTTGAGATAAGATAAAAAGTGGAGCATGTGTACATATCCTGTTAGATATAGCATAAAGCCAGAGAAATCTTATTAATTACAGATACAATCAGGCCGATGTTGGTACCTGTAAACAGTTGATCCAAACAAGTTTCACTTAACACAGTTTGAAGTAATATTACCACACATATTTTAATCTTTGTCTTTTGAAAAACCCTAAATCTTGTATTCAACCACATTTCAAGCATTAATCATTACTTCATTAGTTATTTTTGTATTACAAGTTCTTTCTACTGTACGTTTGCAGATGACATTAAGATTTTTGGGGGTAGCTAACTATATCAAAGATGCTGCGGACTTACAGGTGATTTAGATCATTTGATGCATTGGTCCAATACATGGCAGATGATGTTGAACTATCCAAAATGCAAGGTGATGCATGTAGATTTTCACAATTCAAATTATTGTTACAATTTAAATGGGAATACATTAAATACTGTGGTTAAAGGAAAATATCTTGGTGTTGTAATAAAAAAATCACTTAAGTCATCTAAACAGTGTATTGTATCTAGTAATAGGGCTTATAGGATTTTGGTTAGCATCTATAGAAATATTGAATACAAGACAAGGGGTATTATTGTTTCACTGTATAGATCACTTGTAAGGCCTCATTTAGAATACTGTGTACAGTTTTGGGTTCCTTTCCTCAAGAATGACATTGAATTGTTGGAGAAGATTCAGAGAAGAGCCACTAGGATGATACCTGTGATGGTGGGATTGTTCTATGAAGAGAGACTAAAAATCTCTAAACTTGTTTTCTCTGGAGAGGAGAAGGGTCAGAGTGGATTTGATTGAGGTGTTTAAGATTATTAAGGGTAATGATAATATAGATCCACCACTATTTGGTGCTAAGGAGTGAAAACAATAGGACAAGGGGGTCATAAATTCAACTTTCAGCAGCGTAGGAGTCATCTGCAGTTTAGAAAGTATTACTTTTGAAACAGGATGTTTGGCTTTTGGAATGAGCTGCTTTCAAGGGTGGTCAAGGCAGAAAATTTAACTGAGTTCAAGAAAAGATTGGAATAATACACGAGTAGTAAGGGATAGTTATAATTGGGAGCTGGAAGGGACATCCTTGATGGGACAATAAGCTCCTTTTGTCCCTTTAACATTTTATGAATTTGCAAGTTCCTGAGATTCAGTGTTAACTTAATCATTGACTCCTGTTTGACCTGTTTTAATTTTGCTTTAATGTGGTAAGCTGTTAGGCCCTTATAAAAGAAGCAATTATGCTTAATTGCAGATTAATACTGTAAATATTGACTGAATTACACTCTCCTAAAGGTCTGTGAAAGTCAGAACATCTGTAAAACAAATATATATATATATATGAGTTGAATGTTGATACTTGTTTCACTGAAATATTTACCATTTAATTCAAAAATCTATTCTAACAGCTTGACAAACTTGATATTCTTTTCACTCATGAATATATTGTACCTTTTTTATGCCAGTTTTGATCATTTTTCTAATTTTGCTAACAGTAAATTTGTATGATAAAAGATAAAACATAGAACATGAGCATATTGTTAAAATTCTAGGAGACATAAGTGCTCAGATGTGCACAGAAACTACCTTAACTTTAGTTGTGAATTTGGGTATGTGGGGAAAATGTTTAAAATATTCTTTTTAACTTTGAACTGAAGACACATAAGTTAGCTTAACTATGGATTTTAATCTGGACAGGTGGAAAAAAATGTTTAAAAATTTTTACTTTGAACTCAAGATACAGAAAGTGCTTTAAAATTAGATATGAATCTGGGTACATGTAATCAGTACATAAATACTATTAATAGTTGGCTATGACAAAAATGCTACAGCAGTTTCACAGAAAATTATGCAAATGACCTTTTATCAGTGAGGAACCAGACTAGTTGGAACTTCATTTGTTATGAGAACCAAGCAAGTTTTCTATCCAGTTTCAATATTCCTTTCAAAGTTAGATATGCTAGTGAACATAATATAAAACTGAATTTGAAAAACATTAGAGATAAAGAGAAGATTAGCGTGATTAATTGATAAAAAGCTGGTTGTCCATAATCACAACTTGTGTTTTAATTCAGTTTTTGGTTGTTTCTGTTACTAATATATTAGAAATATTGTGCACCATACAAAGTAGATAAATTAGTTGATGATAGTTTAATCTATAATAGTCTTGAAATTTACTTGTATAATATCTGAAGAAGACAATAAATGGACATGTTACACCCAAATGCTACATTATTTAGTTAGTGTAAGCACAGACTCTATACAACCCTTTTTTCATGTTATCAGAGATCAAAAAGATTACTTAGGAAATGTTTATTAAGAAAGAAAAAAGATATATGTGTATGTGAGGTTCACTTTTTTTTCTGTCTTCTTTTAATATAAGCTAATGGGTTTCGTCTGTTCTATTGTCTCCTGGGGTAAAAATATGCAGGCTACTCCCTATTGCAATCACTACTAATGGTTGTTAAAACCTGTTTTTAGATTAAAAGCAAACTCATTGCAATTGTGACAAGTTTAGTCTGTGGCTTTAATATGTTGTAGAGAATATAATATAGTTTTAATGAGAAGAGCAATCAGTCCCATGTACAGATATGTTGTTTCTTCCACTTCTAAAATGATAGTTATCATTTCATTATGATCGTATTGTAAAAAACATAAATAAACCTTAAAAATGTTTTTTATTTTGTAGGATGTTGCTCTTTAAATTATTTCTCAAGAGTTAACTCAGTTGTATGAACATGTAGGAAAATTTGGTTATTACTCAACTGGTAAGCTTCAGTTTTCAGATGAACAAACTGTTGCATAAACATATGATAATTTTCATGTTTCTAAATTAGTCTTAAATGGTTTGTATGGTGAAGTTATGCATTTAAATTACTATCTCAATCATCGTATGATAAAATTAATGTTAGATTATCAGCTGTAGGAGCAGTTCAAAATTATTGTGCTCAACATTTATAAATAAATATGTAACTAATAATTATAAACAAGTTAATACAATAAAGAACATGATCATCTCTGGTCTTTAAACTGAAAATATGAAACACCAATCGAAATTAATCTTTTGTACTTATATCTTTAATTCATTCATTAATACACTTATATTATCTTGTAAGGAAGACTTCTATAAGTCAACAATGCTAGTATCTTCAACACAAAGAGGTATTTTCAACAGCATAAAATGTTGTATATTCAAATCAAATCAGCTCATATTTTGTATATTATTTTGTAAAATGTTGAACTATTTAACCATCTTTTTTTATTTTGAAACCTATATTTGCAGTCAGAAAGTAATCTAGCTGCTGCTTCTCTAGATCTTTTCCATAAAATTAACTCTAAAGAAACCAAAACCAAATGTTAATACAGTAGTTCAAGTGAGGTCTTACTCAGGCAAAATCTTAAAATGCCAACCCTGATGGAACCTTATCATCAATAATAATTTTGCATGAACTTGAGCAGGCCTATCTGAGTTTTACGTAGAGTTGTTTAGGTTCAGAAGAACTTAATTTTTTTAGCTACAAAGGTGAAGTACTTCTTTAAGATATTTGATTCTACTGAAAGTAAAATTAATATATAAACTTTTGATTTTGTTGCCCTAGGCAGTTGCCTACCTCACTTACTGTACTCACTAAAGCCAGGTCTGCTTGTATTGGATTCTTGTAGAAAGTTACAATGACCTTTATTCACCATATCTGAGCCAAACTTCTTACAAAAGTCTGTATAATGCCACGTCACCAACACTTTTCTCAGGAACCAAATAAGATTATTATGACTTAATACTAGAATATTTTTCCTAATCAGTACCTTGAGAATATAATGTAAGGTAACAACAGTTTCACAATGAAAACAGAACTGAATAAGTTTAACACCAATTAATAATTACTTATGACAACATTGTTTGAAAGGCCAACCACTGTAGTTTAAAAGAAGATGAATCATGATCTTAACATTGTGTGGAAAGTATATCAAGACATACGGTAGTGTATTGTGCAACCAAAACAACCAGCAGGACACACTGTGTTTTATTAACAGGAGTGGTAGTTTAGTCATTTTCTACTTTCTGTAGCTTGGACTGTGGTAAACCAAACTATTAGGTATTTTCAGTGGATGTGCTCCACTGGACCCTTACTTAACATACCAAATTTCAAAACAATCCATTAAGAAATACGCAAGATATAAAATCTCCAATTTTGATTGTATTTTGTTCCTTTTGTTTCTTTCTTTGCACCAAAAGTATGGAAACTTTATTTTATAGAAAACATACTTAACTTTTATGGACTTTTTTCAAATTTGGTACACTGATAGATCTTAACAACTTACAATTATGTGTCAAATTTGGTCTAAATATAAGCCACATATGCAAAGTTATTCAACCAAAACCACTCAAATTTCACCAAATTTTTTGTGCATGCCCATGCACAAAGTCACGTGGTCTATCAATCTTACTACAGCTTCATCTAAGAGTTAAAGTGGACCATTTTTAGTGTTCTGTCATTTGGATTAAATACTGCTGATTTAGAGCAGCAGAACTACAGGGTGAAAGGACATGCAGATACATAAGTATTGGTTAGGCCAAGCAAACTAGATTAGCATTTACTAGCTAAGTTTTCAAAAGGATCATAAGGGTGAACAGTTATTATTTATTACCAACTTTCAAGCACAAATTTGCTAAATTTTATGGAATTATACTAATTAAAGGACATTTAGGGTCGCATCACATTAGTTTAAGCAATTAGCATAAATAATGATGCTTCATATGGCTGTACAGAGGGCAAGCGAGTGATTACAAGCTACTGTTAATTTAGATCCCATGGCGTTACTATAAAGGAAGCTATGAACACTGTTTTAGAAAGGAAAGACTACCACCACATATTTTAAAGAATCTGGTTGGTTCTGTAAAGTAAAGGTCTGTTCTGAATAATAGGGTTGCGATCCTAAAGCCAATTTTGATTTCATTCCTAAACCAAAATTTCCTAAGCTAATTAAACCTTATCTGGTGTGGGTTTAGGCCAAATTTCAATCTCCTGAGCTGACCAAAAAGCTGGGTTTGGCATGGCTTTAAACCAAACCTAAATCTATTAAGTTGATTAAAAATTATGATAAATTAAAAATAAAGTAAAAAACTGTTAACAATGATGAAAACTGAATGATGATTCAGTGTAATATAATCTAATCAAAAACACCTTAAGTGCAAAAAAAAAGGTGCAGCCAAAAAAGGATTAAGCATGCAACTTACGGTATGCTTTGGAGATTCAGCTCAGCTTAAACCTATAAACTAAAACAACAATTTGTATTATTATTTTTAAATTATAATTCATCAAATTATTACAAGAAATATAAATATATGAAAAATATTTTAGCATTTAGCCAATATGATTTATGTATTATTATGATTATTTTGGATTGTATTTTTAGTATTTGCATTCAGAACTAACCTATATCTACTTAGCTGGCAAAATCTTATGAGTTAATATTAAGATTATAATAAAAAGAATATTGTTTACAGTGGGGGTACCCAGCTGATGAATGAATGCATTCTGATTCATTATAAGTTTTTAATTTATGACTTATCATCATCATCCCAGTAAGAACAATATATTAAATTAACTATATTCAGTACTGGAGTAATTTTCCATTCTTATCATTACAGGTGATCAGAATTTGTTAATAATAAGAAAATAGAAAAATGACTATTGCTTAGAAAACGTATACTTTAGTTGATCGTTACATACATAGAAATTATTAAGCATGTGCATTCCTTAGTTATTTTGACTATAGTTAGAAAAAAATGACCTTTACCCTCCAAATAAAAATAAAGTGTTTCAGCCAATGTTTTTCCTTTATCAGGGCTGGTAGTATGAGAACTGTTTGATAGGAAAATATACATTAACTTATTAAACGGCTTTGGTGTTCTGATGTTAAAAGCACATTATGAAGTCACGATCAATAGATTGCCAAAAGCAGTTTAAGAACTTATATTTTCACATTAAACAGTTCTTGTTCTACTGGTCCAGATGAGCTGCAGTGCTGAAATAATGTTCTTGTATTCTTATCTGGAGAGTAAAGGAAGTTTTTCTAACTTTATTGTCAAAATTTTTTATTAGTGTTTTTAAGACATGTTCTTGGCCATTCACTGAGCCTATCATGTTTTCATTCACTGTCTTTAGTGTGTGAATATACACCATCATCATAAATGCATCATAAATTCTCCTCCACTAGTCAAGAGCCGGTTAAACATATTTATCTTGTTCAACAATTGTATAATTATTTGATACATTAGTTGAGGTGGTATTTTGGAGCATGCTATGCCACTATTATTAATTTACATTTTAAATTAAAATGGGTTTTATCTATAAGTATATAAACATAAAAAGTATTATCAGAGCCACTCTGAAATACACATTTTACAAATAACTAAAGTGTCAAAATATCGATGAATATGTGTTATTGCACTTCATGATTCTTGATATTTTAACAATTTTAATGGTTTTTTCACTTCAAGTGGAAACTCTTTATCCATTTTTATATGCTGTTACTTTGTGTGTGTTTTTTTTTCTGTAACTTTCTTGAGTAAATGGATTGTTGGCCCCTTTAATTTTTTTTGTGTATAAAATAATTTTCAAATGAAGTAATCCATTCTCTGTTTTATTCTGTTAATATTGATTAAGATGTTCTAGCCTTTAGATACTAAATTGTCATGTGGATTTCTTCTTTTTCAGTTGGTTGGTGGTGAATTTGACATGGAGCTGAACTTTGTCATAAAACAACCTGATAATGTCCTTCTCATGCTGGACCTTCTTGATCATTGCACACCTAGTCTTCAGGTGAGGGTTTTCAATAGGTCTTCTAATATCTTGGTTAGAAATAATGTTTGGTTCTAGTGAGGGTTTTCAGTAGGCCTTCTAATATCTTGGTTAGAAATAATGTTTGGTTCTGGTGAGTGTTTTCAGTAGGCCTTCTAATATCTTGGTTAGAAATAATGTTTGGTTCTGGTGAGTGTTTTCAATAGGTCTTCTAATATCTTGGTTAGAAATAATGTTTGGTTCTGGTGAGGGTTTTCAGTAGGTCTTCTAATATCTTGGTTAGAAATAATGTTTGGTTCTAGTGAGGGTTGTCAGTAGGTCTTCTAATATCTTGGTTAGAAATAATGTTTGGTTCTGGTGAGTGTTTTCAGTAGGCCTTCTAATATCTTGGTTAGAAATAATGTTTGGTTCTGGTGAGTGTTTTCAG